ACCGGGTAAGAGACGTACTGCCACTCCTAGTCCAATTACCCTATTATTGTATATACAGGGTTCCTGAACCAGTGCTATGTCTACTTCAGCTTTCGTGAGGGATAGGAGGAGTTCGGCAGCAGTTGCTTTGCAGTGATGCAGATAAATCTGCATGATGCTAAGTAGCTGCTGTTTTTTTCTCCTAATGCAACGGCGTTATCCGAAAACGGATCCAGTCGGCGCCGAAATGCAATTTTCCCCCACGAGCTTGAAGGTACTCCTGGCCATCCGTATCCATAGATACTTGATGACCAGGCACCCTCCTTCAGTGCTTGAACTAACAAGACGCCAGTTGTCTGTTCTGAGGTTAGGGTTTTGCTCGCCCAGTATTGTCAGGATGCGTGATCCACAGATGGTGGTGGCACCCAAGCTGTCAATACCTTACGGGAGGGATGTCCTTTAAGGTCACCCTCTCCACTAAAGACAAGCTCCCTCAGTCGATCTTCGAATAGCAGCCATCGGCTGCAGCTGATTTTACCTTCCGGTTCTGCCTTGTCGATGATTGCTACTCGAAAATTGACCGGTATATGGTTTGAGAACACTTCCTTTTCCGCCCTGTTTGGCTTGCCGGTTGTGACTTGACCTCCGCCTGTGGACCTTAAAGCTTGAAGGGGCTGATAGGGGCGGTTTGGTCACGGCCGACTTGCTGACGGACGGAGTGGAAGTTGTAGGTGTAGGCTGAGAAGCCGGGGCCGTAGATGCCTTCATGGCCTCAGGGCGTGTTTCCTCCGTAGACCGACCTCTCTTCAACGCTGAGCGTGAAGAGTTGTCAGCTTCCTTTGGAGCTGCCAAGGCTGCGGCTATCACGAGCTCTGGTTTCTTGACCTTCCTGTTTCTGCGCTTCTTGGCAGGTGGGTTTGACTCAGCAGTGTCAGCACTAACCACCTCCGCGTGAACATCTACCGGAGTTGTTGATAGCAGATGGTAAGAGAGCTAGAAGAACCTGATTAAGAGAACAGCTTGGTAAATGCGGGTGATTCTTTTCGAACTTTGCAATTACTTTGAGGTTCATCTTATCAGAATCCTATCTCTCTCCGTTCTCTGCGCGGGGTACTGACAGCACCTACGTGATGGCGCTTTGCCTATCGAGGCTTGTAACATCAGAGGTGACTGCGATGATCCCTCCTGGAGTTGTGTCTTTGCACAAGTGCCGGTTGGGAGTGTTCTTAGTGGCTGCCTCATCCGAAAGTGGTGAGTCATTTCCAAAGCCAGAAGGAACACTTTCCTGACTGAGCCTCAGCGTTTTTGTCTTTTCCAGGAGAGCGGACAATTCTTCACTGTGTTTGTGAATACTGTCATGCATGACGTCACTGTAATTAAGTATTGAGTCGTCTCCTCCCGAGTTAAAAATCTAGTCCTGTAGCCGGTCCTTGGTCGTTGCTTCCTCAGAAGCAATAGTGTCATTGGTGTTTGTTGGGGGATTTGGTTCGACATGGTCGACATTTTGAAGAATTTCTGTAAAATTGTGCGATTCTGCACAATTCATTCTTCTGTAAACTTATTGGTTCTATTTTTTATGGACACTCAACATTTTTATGATATCGAAATTTTTAAGAGTTTCTGTAAAATTGGTCAGATATGTGAAATTATCAGATAAATACATTAAATGTCTTTCTGACGATGGCGTATGCGATTATTCATCATTCATTCTGCTATAAATTTATTGGTTCTATTCTCTATATGTGAAATTATCAAATAAATGCTTTAAATGTCATTCTGATGTGGCGTATGCAATTCTGCATCATTCATTCTGCTATAGGCTTATTGGTTCTGATTTTTATGGACAATCAATATTTTTGGTATATCGACATTTTCAAGAATTTCTTAATATGCTCAGACATTTAATATTGTTCTGACGATGGTGTAGACAATTTTGCATCATTCTTTCTGCTATAAACTTAATGGTTCTATTATGATATATTTTCTTACATCTATATTTTCAAGAATTTCTGAAAATTGTTCAGACGTGAGGATGTCGACATTTTGAAGGATTTCTGAAAAATTGGTCCGAATGTAAAATTTTAAAATAAATGCATTAAATGTCGTTCTGACGATGGTGTATGCGATTCTGCATCATTCATTCTGCTATAAACTTATTGGTTTCATTTTCTTATGGATAGTCAAATTTTTAAGGATATCGAAATTTTCAAGAATATTTGTAAAATTGTTCAGACACGCGGAATTATCAATTAAAAACGCAAAGTGTTTTAAGTGTCGTTCGATGGCCTATGAGATTCTGCATCATTCATTCTCCTATAAACTCATTAGTTCTATTTCTAATATGTAATATTTTTGGGATATCGACATTATCAAGAATTTCCGTAAATTGCTCAGACGTGTGGAGTGATCAAATAAATGCATTAAATATTGTTCTGACGATGGTGTATGCGATTCTGCATCATTCATTCTGCTATAAACTTATTAGTTCTATTTTCTTATGGACAGTCAAATTTTAAGGATATCGACATTTTCAACGATGGCCTATGCGATTCTGCATCGTTCATTCTGCTATAAACTCATTAGTTCTATTTTTTATGGACAATCAAATTTTTGGGATATCGACATTTTTGAGAATTTCTGTAAAAATGTTCAGATATGTGGATTTATCAAATAAATGCATTAAATACAATTCTGACGATGGAGTATGTGATTCTGCATCAGAGGGCTGCAACGAGTATGAAAAAATGCAATCATACTCGGTTTCTTACATGATTTTTGTTGATTCAGTCGTTTGATTTAATCTGAATGAAATAATCTTTTTCGCATCGCATCGGATCGAATTGAACGCTCAGTTTGAATCACTTCGCTTACAATCAAACATGAGTGTTCGAGAGCGTATGATGAGTTCAGCTACATGAATTGATCGAACACATGAATTGAAGTGAGCAATCACAACTGTGATTTTTTTCTTTCAATCGCGTTTCGAACACAAAGCTTCGATCAATAATGTTCTCCTACAACTTTTTTGTTCGCATGAGCAACTCGAATAAGCACGTTACATCTGACCGAATGTTTGAGTTTGATTGTATTTCCACTAACTGTGGTCAAGCCTGCTCAATCGTACTAATTGCAGCTCTCTGGTGAGCACCCATTTACATTTTTTGTGAACAGGTAGAACGTTTTATGATGGTGTTTACAATGTTGCTGTTTTTACTGCTTATTCATCCTGTATCCTATTGCTTTTTAGATGGACATAATTATGGTCCCTGCTAACATGCAATAACCATTTCTTTTCCAAACGCCCAAGTCCAATGAAACACACCGGGCAGTAAGAAAAAATAAACACTGAACACTTCACATGCCTATTTACATTTTATGAAAAATATACACCATTGTGTAAAGAAAACACTTTATGCAAAAGTACCTGGATTCAAACGAGTACCACTTTAAACTACAAACTCCAGTAAAATCGGTAGGAGAATGGTTGGAGCTGTTATATGGGGGCCATGCTAAGACGGGAGCCTATATAGACAATTTTATACAACGATTGTAATCTATAGCGAGCCTTTAATAACATAATTTTTAGACAAACGCGTAGAAAAATGCGGTTAAAACCATCAAAATGACGAATATTGGGGGGTACCGTTATACGGGGCTATACGAAAACGTGCTGCTATATGTACAATGCTCCTCCATCGGAGCTACAACCCACACAACAACCTACATATATCACTTTTTAGACAAATCCAATGGAAAGTGTGGCTAAAACCATTAAAATACCGAATGTCGGGATGTACCTTCATATGGGGCTATAGCTATAACGAGCTACAATACCAATTTTTAGACAAATTGGTGGAAATATGTGGCTAAATCAAATAATGTGAGCTGTATCGTGATTTCAATGAGAAGGACATCGTTAAATCGACTTAGAATTTTATGCGGATCATGAATATCCTCCTTTCAAGATGAACCATATAAAAAGTGTAGATCATAGTAAAAACTGAATAATAAATAAATCAAATAACGGCAAACCGAAGAAACAAATATAAAAAAATAAAAAAACTTGTAGACCAGACATTGCATTTAAGGTACATTATTGCACTTAATGCTCTTCGAACATCTGATCGAACTCTTTCTTTAGATGACAGTTTTTTCCAGTAGTTACATGTATCACTATAGAGTAAACACAATTATTAACTTCGCTAACGCACAACCGGCAAAATGAGCGATCGCATTTATTGTCATTTGAGATCGATTGTCAGAAATGATTTCAATCGCCAACTTAATGAACGTTCGCTGTTGTGTGCTCGCGCTCGTTTGTAATGTGTGTGCGAACATTCGTTTGATAAACGTTCGTCTGGTAAAGAATTTATCGCGTTAAAATACAATCGCAAAATAAGCTTAAATGAGAAGATCGTATTTTAATCGTTCGCCAGCGAATTTTTGTGCCCCCTGTAATATTCATTCAACATTTGCTCCTTTCGTTTACTGTTTAACATGTACTATGTAGCATCATAGTTTGCAACATAATTCGATTTTTTCTGTCTCAAGACGAAAAATTACTAAAAGTAACCACCAACTAACATAAAAACTTATGAAGCTTATGAAAATAATGGTTCACAAATTGCTTTTACATGTATTATTTTCCTCTTTCTTCATCAGCTCAGTTTGCAATTTAGTACTTTCAAGTGCTTTCGCTCTCACTTACTGGATTTTTGGGTAAACAAGAAGCAGTAACAATTTTTATAAATTATCGAGAATCGAACAATACATTTTATGAAAAAGATTTTGTCTTGCTGGATTTTACTAAACCTTTTTATACATTTTTACAGTATTTTTGAGTATGTTGAGTATATGTCTTATGAATGTTATTTCGATTAGCTATTTTATAAACCATATTATTTTCTGCTTTTTTAAATATTGTATTTTTTTTCTGCACTAACAAGTAATCGTTTTTGGTAAATTAGATATATTGTGTTAAATATTTGCATTCAAATACCTATTTTTCTTTTTTATTTTAGGAAAAACAAGATTTCATTCAAGCACACAACCTTGCCGGAATTCAAGATATTTCAGCAGATAAGATGAGTGAATTCTATAAATCTTTTTGGACAAAAACAGAAAGTTACATGTTTTATACAACTTTTCGTGGTATTATAAAAATTTTGAAATTCTAATTTTAGCTCTACAAGTGGAATGTGCAAATATACTTAAAACTTTAAAAAAGGAGACAAAAAGCAAATGTAATTAATGTATAATTTTACTGTTCAGTTTAATTCTTTAAAACAAATTGTTTGCATACTTGTTTTATTAATCAAAGAATAAAGGAAAAATAAATTAATGTATTTGCGGGGATCACTTCTTACCCTTGTTAAGAAGCGCCGTTCCATTCATGGTGAATAGGAGAGATGAATCAGAAGTCCAAAAGTGAGTAGTAAGCAATACTTATGCTTATATACTATAATCGAATCGAGAATCGAGATTTGTGGAAATGTTATATATATATATATATATATATATATATATATATATATATATATATATATATATATATATATATATATATATATATATATATATATATATATATATATATATATATATATATATATATATATATATATATATATATATATATATATATATATATATATATATATATATATATATATGTAATATTTTTGGGATATCGTCACTATCAAGAATTTCTGTAAAATTGCTCAGACATGTGGAGTGATCAAATAAATGCATTAAATATTGTTCTGACGATGGTGTAGGCGATTCTGCATCATTCTTTCTGCTATAAACTTATTGGTTCTATTGTGATCTATTTTCTTAAATCGATATTTTCATTTCAAGAATTTCTGTAAAATTGTTCAGACGTGTGGATGTCGACATTTTCAAGGATTCCTGAAAAATTGGTCCGAATGTAAAGTTTTAAAATAAATGCATAAAATGTCGTTCTGGCGATCGTGTAAGCGATTCTGCATCATTCATTCTGCTATAAACTTATTGGTTTCATTTTCTTATGGATAGTCAAATTTTTAGGGATATCGACATTTTCAAGAATTTTTGTAAAATTGTTCAGACGCGTGGAATTATCAAATAAATGCATTAAGTGTCGTTCGATGGCCTATGAGATTCTGCATCATTCATTCTGCTATAAACTCATTAGTTCTATTTTTTACGGACAATCAACATTTTCGGGATATCGACATTTTCGAGAATTTCTGTAAAATTGTTCGGACATGTGGATTTATCAAATACATGCATTAAATGTAATTCTGACGATGGCGTATGTGATTCTGCATCAGAGGGCAGATCAAATCAAATAATGTGAGCTGTATCGTGATTTCATTGAGAAGGACATCGTTAAATCGACTTAGAATTTTATGCTGATCCTGAATATCCTCCTTTCCAAGATGGATGATATGAAAAAGTGTAGATCATAGTAAAAACTGAATAATAAATAAATCAAATAACGGCAAACCGAAGAAACAAATATAAAAAATAAAAAAAAACTTGTAGACCAGACATTACAGCGCAAGTCTCGCTGGAAGTGTTCTTGGTGGCTTTTTGAAATGACTTACCACTTTGAGACGAGGAAATGACCGTGATGTCAAGTTCCTCATCCGAAAGTGGTGAGTCATCTCCAAAGCCAGAAGGAATAATCATGGGCACTCGGATATTTGTTCCGAGACTCTCCCCCCCGTACCGCTGAGTTGTCCGCGACTGATTATTTATTCGCAGCTGCCCAATATATCTATTGGGCGTTCCACTATCCGCAATCTGTGGACGCGTCCGGTAGCAACCAACTATGCTTCCGAAATCGGCCGGAAAATTTTCGCGTAGCATCTTGCATCAATTGCACTTTAATAGGAGGACCTTTGAACTTACCCGCTATATCACTGAATATATCTTTATGTTTGGCTAATAGCAGCTGTAGTCGTTGCCGTTGATGTTCAGAAAGTACGTGTTTTTTACTGCTATAGATGCTTTCTTCTCTCCTGTCGCTGCTGATAACTCCGTCCCCGTTGATGCTTCTATTGGGTCTTGGAACAATTTGGCAAAATTTACTTCTCGAGCAAAATGTGCGATCCGCTCACGGCCACATTATGTGTCTGGCCATTAACTGCGTATAAGTTCAGCCTACGACTGGTTCTGCCCAAAGACACATTAGGCACGGTACTTCTATGCACGTAATCTTGTGTCCCGTAAAACTTGAAAATCGCCGGTCCGCTTTCTTTAACACTGGTGACTGCTTTATGTCCTTTAAATTATCCAAGCTAATAATACTGTAAGGAGCAACCAGTTTCTAGTTCCATATCCACCTTCTGGCCGTCTATCTTCATTGTGACCATTTTCCGATCGAATGGCCCTTTTGTTCTGACTGTTGCAATCTGAGACGTATGTGCCTCCTCGCCCTCATCTGACAACAACGACTACTCTATCTGCTTTATATTTGACTTGCACACTTTACTTATGTGGCCTACCTTGCCGTACGTGTCGATCACTGCCGACTTCTGCTACACACCATTTTTCATCTTGACAGGTGTAAATCCCAACTTGCATGTTGGTTTTGTAGTAATATTCTCACCTGTATTTACTACACCCGTTGATAATTGAGTTAACTGCTTTGCCGTGGCACACTCATATGCCTCCGCAAAACTTTCTGGTTGCTTAGCAATAATCCCGTCACAAATATTGCGGGATTTCACTCCAAATATCATCTGCTCAATCAGCATCTTATCCAGTAAAAAAATTTGCCAACTATTCCCCTACATCTTGGTGTATCTGTCGAAATCTGAAACTTTCCGCATAAATGATTCTCCTCTCGTCGAAATGATTTATCAATGTTGTTTTGATTTCTTCATATTTCATCGTGGCCGCGATTTTTGAACAGCCTCCGTCGCAGCCGTACGAATTGCATTTGCCAAGGAAGAAAAAACTGCATTGAACTGCTCTTGGTTCATCGTGCCTGTCCACTTTTGACACCAATATTGTATACTCAGTTTTAATGTAATTCAGTTTATTTCATTAAGAAAGATTGTGATGTAAAGAGTAAACTATGAACTAATAACAAAAGAATATGGAATTGAGAATGTTAGTTAAAAAAGGGCAATCTGGCAGATAAAATAAAAGTGATGTCAATATCGAGTTAACATATAAAATAATATTCAAATTCGAAACTTGAAAACAAAACAAATCTGTAAAAAATTTAGCTAAAATCATCAAAATACCGAATATAGGGAGGTACCATTATATGACGGCCATACCAAAACGTGGACCGGCACAGACAATTTTCTGTCATAGGCTGTAGTATCCATTACGAACTTCACACACCAAATTTGAAACAATTCCGGTGAATAATGTCGCAAAAATCATCAAAATACCGAATATCGGGAGGTACCGTTATATGGGATAGACAATTTTCTGTCTTAGGCTGTAGTATTCATTACGAACTTCAAATATCAAATTTGGAACAATTTCGGTGAATAATGTCGCTAAAATCATAAAAATATCGAATATCGAAAGGTACCGTTATATGGGCTATACGAAGACGTGGACCTGCACATACAATTTTCTATCATAGACTGTAGTATCCATTACGACCTTCAAATGCCAAATTTGATGCAATTCCGGTGAATAATGTCGCTAAAATCATCAAAGTATCGATAGGTACCGTTATATGGGGGCTGTACGAAGACGTGGACCTGCACAATTTTTTTTGTCAGAGGCTGTAATATCCATTACGAAATTTAAATAAATTCCGGTGAATAATGTCGCTAAGACAATCAAAATACAGAATATCGTGCGGTGCCGGTACATAGGGGATATACGAAGGTGTGGACCTGCACGGACAATTTTCTGTCATAGGCTGTAGTATCCATTACGAACTTCAAACATCAAATTTGAAACATTTCCGGTGAATAATGAAGCTTAAATCTCCAAAATAAATAAAAATTATAATTTTTGAACCTACATCATTTCGTGCGGAAGCTAGAGTGATTTCCACAGATGGACAGGCGGATACATGGACGGACATCGCTAAGTCGTCATGTATGTTTCAAGGTGTTACAAACGGAATGGCATACTTAATATACCCTGTAACAACAATGACATCTTCCTGACTTATCACATTAACAATAGCAACATGTAGTTTTCGCATTTATTGTCGATGTCAATTGATCGCTATTTCCATTAGATTCGTAATTTAGTACGTCCTTTCATGTTTTTTGCTTTATCATTATCACACAAATACTTTTTCCTTTATGCATACTTAGTACATACACATATACATTATAAAACTTAATAAAGCAAGAGTTTGACTCTTCCCAAGAGGGTTTATATTTGTTTCGCTTTTCTGGAGACCCAATCGCAGGATTTTGAGTAACGACTAGGACATCCTCTGAGCTATTGAGCTAATACGTCCATATAATGAGACTCAGTATAAGATTGTATATTTGCCTCTTGGAAATTTCCTCTCTATAGACCACATAAAGTTTGATTTACTTAATATTTAGGAGAGCTCGTTTGTTGATGGATCTTACTTTTGCTTGTCATTTTTTTCCAAGGGACGAGAGTTTATTTGAAGACTTATTTTCTTACATCGTGTGGGGGCACCTATATGATATCGCTTTTGGGGGTGTTTACATTATATCCAAATTTATGTTAGGCAAATTTTTTGCGTCAATTCTTTGTTTATAGGAGAGTGGGGTAAGGAGAATGGAAAAAAATGGCTCGTGCTGGCAATTCGATTATAAATTAGAAAGGGCAATGATAAAAAAGTAAGTTGCTGAAATAATCGCCCTGCATAAATGCAAGAGGCAAGTTCAAAGAGTAATATAAAAATTAACACAAGTAAACTCGTCTAGTATAGGTTAGGTTTTAGGATGCGCAGTTGTATGAACAACCACTTCACTCGGAGATCTGCTGATCCATTGTGTATCCTAGTTTGGATGCGATCAGCGTGTCGTCTTTAACCATTTTAAGCTACTGGCTAATTGAAGCATAACTGCTGACTCGGTTTCGGAAAAAAGAGGGCAAGTCGGGCAGAATTTGCTTACCCGTTAGCCTATATTGGCCTCCAAAAATAGTTGCACAGTGGCAGAGTAGTTGCTCCACCGTCTCGGTTTCCTTCTCGTCCTGACAAAGCCTGCAGTATACAGTGTCGTCGCCCCCACTTGGAAGTCACAGCCCTTATATTGCAGTGACCTATAATTAGACCCACCAGAAGCTTTAGGTCAGATTTCGTCAAGGGAATGAGTGACCCTGATCTACGTTCGGAGATCACCGGCCATATTTTCTTAGAGACATTACATCTCCTTCCAGTCAGCCAATTCAGATTAAATCTCCCAGTGCAATGTTTGTGTCGTACTTGAAAGAAGTGACATAAGGGCCGCTTTGCTTAGCTCTCAATCTCTAGA